AACCATATTAATGATCTTTTCTCCTCAGCTTGTAGCTTGTAACCATCAACCTTGATCCACCTCTTACTCTTTTTTTAAATTAATTTATTAATTATTAAAACTTGGAACATACTCGACGAGTGGTTAGTAGCAATAGGAAAAACAAAGAATAAGACCGCACCTGGAGCTACTGGTATCGGATATATCTTAATTAAGAATGTCAGTATTGAGGTCCAAAAGATTTTCAGTAGATTTGCGAGTCTGTGCTTAGCAGAGAGCAGAATTCCGGATAAATGGAAGCTAGTGCAGGTGTACTCAATTCTGAAAGATGAAAATTGGGGGTTTTAATTGTATAATATTAGGCCGATTGCATTGTTAGAGACATTTAGAAAGTGTATCACTCATGTATTAACGAAGAGAATGGCTAAAGTTTTTTGTTGAGAATGAAATATTAGGTGGACCCAATTATGTGGAACTGCCAGGTTGCTCAACAGAAGAGGCAATCAACTTAGTTAAGATAGTAGTTGAGAACGCTCACAAGAATAAGAAGGAATTGTAGTTGATGCTCCAAGATATGAAGAAGGCATACGACTCAGCAGATAATGGAAATAGTACAGAGATTTTTCAAGTTTAATGATATATGAATAAATGGTACAAAGTCCAAGCTAATAGTAGTAAATATGAATTTAAAAAAGAGTAAGAGGTGGATCAAGGTTGATGGTTACAAGCTACAAGCTGAGGAGAAAAGATCATTAATATGGTTACTTGGCATTTGGATAAGTGCAGATCTATGTGAAACCATAATAGCTAAAAAGGCAAAGGGAATTGTAGAGCATTTTGTAAGGATATTAAGATGCAAGAGTTTGTCTATTAGCCAACTAATCTATATAAACAATATGTGTATAGTGCTGAAATTAGCCTATATATTACAAACAACAAAATTAACCAAAGCAAGTATAGATAGAATATACTAACCAATAATAAGAATAATTAAAAACAAAATAGGGTTGCCGGCAACAGCAGGCAATTATATAGTAACACACCAAGGACTGGGTCGTTGTAGGTCCTTGAGTCAGGAGCTCTTTGCCAAACAACTAGTGTGCTTGCAGAATAGACTTAATAGGTCAGATCGAGTAGAAAAGATGACTCAAATAAGGTTGAATGAAAGGTATGCATTAGCTGGGTTAGTAAAAGAAAATTGGTCAAAACCTCAAAATTGGTACCTGAGAAAAGTCTGGAAAAATAATTTGGCAGGATCAATTTTAGTCAAAGCAAATGAATTAGGTATGACACTTCATGCTAATTCAGAGAAGTGGCAAATTTGTAGTACAAGCCCTACGATAGCAGAAGTGATTAGAGAAGAGACGTATAGTGCCTACTGTAGTAGTATTAGGAGTTTCAATGTGTTCTATATAAACCAGTTGATCAATAGAACTAGTATGAAGATGATAACATGGAACCAGCTACGTGTATTGAGAACAAAGTCTTTAAAAGGCCGAAAAGCAAAATGGTTTAGTGTGATTGAGGAAAAGTTGATTAGATATATGGAAAGTAGAAGGGTAGTAGATGAATTTATAATTCCAGAAGAGAATTTGATGTATATACAAATGAAGGCAAAGAAATTATCTGAGGATCAGAGACATCGCGAATGGGTAATCATCAACAATGAAAATGCAGATTCAATAGTAGGTCGAGTTAGAAGAAAAAGAAAGGCACAAGTGTTAATCAATCATTGGTTATCTGAGTTATCGACTAATGGTGAAAATAGGCTAAGAAGCTGCAAGAGATGTAAATTGAGTCAAACAAACGAGGTTGATGTATGCCAATATTGGGTTAAAAAAAAAAAGGTACTAGGAGCAATTCTTGAGATTAGTATGAGTGATGGAAAGAGAGTACCAGTGTTGCTAAGAGATTAAGAGTTTCAGATCAGGTGATAATATGTCGGCTAGAGCGAAAAGTGAGTATGAGATTAATAGTATAGTAGTGATAGATTCACATAAAAAGAGTTTAGTTATAGAACAGGGTTTTAACCAGGAGCTAGAGTCGCTGTTAATACAGCAATTGGAGGGTAATTGTAGTAGAGATATAGACAGTAGTGTATATTATACTGATAGGTCTTTGATCAAAAGTAGAAAAGAATGGGTGCAGGTTGGGTACAGGTTGATATTTTGGAGAAGATGGTACTTGCGGAGAGGAAGATTAGATTTGGTAGATGGCTATTATCAACAAAGGCGGAGTTAGTAGCTGTGTTAATAGTAGTGCTAACAGCTAGGTGCAGAAGTGAAGTTATAGTTAAGCTAGATAGTGCTGTGGCAATTGCAAGCTTAGAAGATCCAACGATGCTTACTAATACAAAAATGTGGAGTAAGAAGCAGAATGCGAGTTTAGTAGTCAAGATTAAAAATATATGTAGATTAAAGTCTTTGGTTTTTCAGTTGGTAAAGGTAAAGGCACACAGTAAGGTGAAATGGAATAAAAGAGCTGACCAACTAGCAAAAGAAGGGGCTCAGTTAGCTCAGTGCTTATTATTGGCCATGAAGAAAAATCATCGTAAAAGAGTTACGGCTTATCTCAATGAAATACCGGTTAAGATAACAACAAGAAAACTAGTCAAGATGCTAATAAGCTTTAAAACTGGTGCAGAATGGCATAGCTCAAATACTATCAAGCAGTATAAGAGTGGGATAGACACAAACCATAGTTGGAGGGCCATGTGGCACCAGAATAAAAAGGCAACAGGGATTAAGTGCAAAACACGAGTAGCGAGCAGAAATATATTATTCTGTATTAAGTGTATAAATAACAACTTATCAGTTTTATCGACATTAAAGAAGAGAAAGCCAAAGATTTATTTAGATGATACGTGTGTAAGTTGTAGGTGTGCGAAAGAAACTTTTGACCACTTGGTAGTATATACAGGATATGATAATTACTGGGGTATTATAGAGAAGGTCGCATGCTTACTTGTATGGAAAAAGTTGGATCATGCATATAAGAGATCAATATCTATTAGAAATTTTAAGTTAGCAATTGGCGGTAGTATAGTTAAAAAACAAATTAAGTGGAGAAAAGATTATATCAGAGGGCTTATTTCTGATGATGTTGTGGTGGATTTGTTAGATTTAGAGATATCAAGAAAGGCTATAAACCTGGTCCTAGGCAGTTATATGGCGATCATTAAAAGCAGCTTTCTTGATGAGATCTGGCGAATTAGATGTAAAGCAGTTGCAAAATAGGAGAAAGAGAACGGCATTGAGACATTAATGAAAAGAAGCAACCAAAAGAAGCCAGCTAGTAAAGGTACCAGTAAGAACACAATGTTAAGAGTAAGAGGAAGCAGAAATACTGGTGAATCGAGTGGGGTAGGTAAAGTAATAGATATTGGGAAAGATACAGAAGTTGTGAGGTTATTCAAGATGGGTATTGATGAATGGGTTAATAATAGTTCAACCTCTTTTTGGTTTAGTTCTTGATAGAGCTGACAAGGTCTTCCAACCCACTTGTGGGTTTGTGTGACAAGTCGCATCTGGGCGCACATGATATAGCCGGGTGATGCTAGGCTTACAATTGTTAATTAGATATTATTAGAAATCTTTAAACTTTGTGTTTAGTCTAGTAGTAATATAATTTGTATTTGAGCACCGACAAGACTGTCAAAGAATTAAAAAAAAAAAAAAAACAAACTTGAGACATAGTTGGGACATTGGGATGTTGGGATATTGAAATGTAGCAAAAAAGCTTGGAACACTGTCCAAACCTATCACTGCCGATAGCTCTATAGAATTATCTATAAAGTTAACAATTACAACTTGATATAATTAAACTTTGTCAGTATAATTTATTGTAACGTTCATAGTTGTATCAGGTGCTCGATATGTAACTGATTTAAAAATAAAAAACTGGAGACATATCGAAATCAAATTTGTCTCTGGTTTTTAACCAGTTGTGCAGTTTCCAATTTGCCTTCATTCAATCTGTATATACAATATTCTTTCTATGATTATTTAACATCATCATGCTATTCAATGTTTACTTTTCAATTCTATACTAATAATAATGTTCTATATTATTCACTTTACTATTAGGATCTTCGTTAGTAGATCTTTTATAATTAACGAATGCTTTATGTTCATTTTTTTTGATATTAATTCCATTTTTATGACAACTTTGAATATTAAATGCTTCATTGAGATCACCCATATTAGCATATTTTTAATAATCAATAAACATTTTATATTTATCCTTTTTATTACAAGTTCTCTCTTTATTACCATATTTAAGATCATTGATTTTATTAAAAATTCACATTTCTTCAGATTTTTAATAATTAATAAATGCTTTATGTTTATTTGTTTTAACATCAATTCTATTTCAATTAAAATTACACATTTTATTAATGTGACCTATTTTAGCTGATTTATAATAATAATTAAATATCTTATTTTTATCACTTTTACTTCTTACAATTTCGATTCTATTTTTGTAGCAATACCCGATATTATAGGCTAGGAGTTGGAAAAAGGAACAAAAATGACAATTTTTTCAAACTAAGTTTTTTTATATAAATTAATTTAAAATAAAATTAGAATCTTTTTTCACTTAAAGCACAAAAGTAGTTGTGTTAATAAAATTTTGCAGTATAGCTCTTTAAATTTTGTATTTTCTTATAATCTATTATAAGATTTATAACACAAAAATTGATTTTCTGAAGATCTTTTGTTTTGTCGATTTCGTTTCTTTTTCTAGCACTTAGCCCATATATTCTATTAATGTGATCTTTATCACCATTATCAATCACAAATTTCTTTGATTTTTTTCATCACCATTTCCATAAAATACATCAAGTATATTTTTATCTTTCATTTTACCTGTTTGATTTAATTTATCAAAGTTCTTTTTATATTAATGATTACTTTTTTCTCTTTTTCATTATTAATATTATTATCCATAATCAATTCACCTTTAACACACCTAACATTTACAAATTCATCTTCTCTTCGATCATTATTCTTCATTATGATACCCTTCATTGCATATTTATCTACGTTTTTATCAATAATTAGTTCTTCCAAAATCTTGAATGTCATTTTACTATAACTAGATTATATTGTACAACAACAATTTTTGTTCTTTTATTCGAAATTACACCTTGTTTTTGCAATCCAAAGTATTTCAAAAACAACATCACAACACAATCCTTGCTTTATATAGAACTTTTGAACCACTTTAATGCTATCAATATTAACTTCAATACCAGGAATGCATCTAACAACTTCATTACCAATTTTCTCATTTATATGTTTCCAGATAAACTCTTTTTCTTTTGCATACTTTATGCTTATTAGATTTGAATATAAACTAAGCCTAATTAATATTTTTGCAATCTTTCTGTTTACTTTCACCATCTTTTCTAATGTCTTATTATTCTTATTTTTACTATTACTATTTCAATCTATTTTAACACTTTCTCTATGTTTCAAACCTTTACTATATTTTTACCAACTTCTATATAACGAACTTCTATCTACTTATTATTTAAACTTTGATTATGACCTTAATCTTTTATAAATGGACATGAACGAGCCAAGTACCTTTTATGTCAACACATATAACACAAATACAATATACACTTTTTTTGTTTACTTTAAGAAGTCTTTAAGCTTTTCATTACTTCTTGTACTACTGTTTCTACAATATTCTTCACCAACGTCACTAGATAATTTATATTTTCTATTCTCAACTCTAATTCTGTTAAACAACTTCAATTTGCCACCAAGGCTTGAATTTACTTATTGCGATAATGCAACCTTCTGGCTTTTGTATTTAGTAAAATACAACAAGCTTTAACAAAGTTTTGTGAGTAGACCTTTGTCTTATTCAAATCTTTGTGTTACAGAGTTATCTAAACTACTGTATATTCATAGACTTTTACTAACAGTCTTTAACTCATTTGGCTAATTATACAATAACTAAAGTATTGTACCAAATACTACCACTACCCAAAATACCATATACAAAGTAATATATAAATATACAGTTTATTGTTTAGATGTTTCTTTATTATTAAAGACTATTTTATTTGTCTCTCTAATCTAAACTTTCTAATTACTAAAAACCATTGTTCTGTTATAGAACGAATTTATTATTAGTTTATTATTTTATTATTTATTAATTATCTTAGAATATTATTATTATCTTGT